TCATTAGAAACATGATAAAGGTTCAGCAGTATGAAGCCAGTCTGCATAAGGACAAAACTATATCTTCCTTCAGTATCAGAGGCCTTTTCTGGTGTATATCCTACAGGTCTTGGTGATTAATTATAATTACATCATTTGAAATGAGAAAGTGCAGCAGTAATTAATGGTCCTCTCAACTTCAGTGCCTTCCCTAGAGCAATGGAAAAGGTAGTCATCTATGATAGTGTCATATGGTCCGTGTTAGAAGGCATCCTCTATCTGTCTGTCTGTCTGTCTATCTACCTACCTACCTACCTATCTCATGAGACAGTTCATACTTGGACACAGTCTGTCCTCTCTTACAGTGAGTGGAAATAACTCGTGGCGCAGCAGTGTGTACAGCAGCAAACAGCATGTGAACAAAATGAGGACTGGTCAGTTTCTACCAGATGGGAAGGCAAGAGAGCACTGAAAATTAGAAAAAAAAGGAACAAAACACTCGAAAAAATAGTGATTTTGTGAAACTCATGGCCTTTTTGGAATGAATAAACAATTTAAGAAAGTTCATGCACTGTGATAGTTCCTTTTATTTTTCCAGTTTTGCTAGTGATGCCATAGAAATTAATTTTCTGTTCTACATGGTCCTGTAAAACTGAAAGTGGAAGATTAAAAAGTCTGATTTGAGACATAATGTGATTGCAACCTAAAAAATTTGGATGTTGGAGTTCAGGTGTTGGACCTGTGGTCTCCCTTAAGCACAAATACAAAGTCCTTTAGCAGTTTAATCATTTCTACTAAAAGTCTAGGAATAGACTTTCCTTTTTTTGCTTCTTTCAAGGACTCTGAAGATGCTAAAACAGGTTTTCATAACACCTCTTAGGACTGAAAGAGAAATGGGACCCTACATTAGCAGAAGTTGCTCTGAAGCAGTGTGATCCCAAGCTCTGTCTGTCAAGCAATCCTCAAATCCAATGCTTAAATTAATAATGATTTATGTGAAAGACTGATTAAGTGATTGCAGTGATTGTCATTACTATTGGATCAACACTACATCACACATGGTTTAACTGAATTACTGAACAGTAAACACACTTTTAGCTTTACATAATACACTTAACTCTGTGGAAAATTTCCCTTCACATGTGCATATGTTTTGTATGCACAAATAAACAGGAAATCACTGCATTACTGAGATTGCGGTTGATTTGGGTGGTGCTGTTTCCCCTTCCCTCCCTCCTCACTGAAGAGCCACCCAGGTGATGCTGATTTTCTTTCAAGGCAGGCATGTGCTGACAGAGAGCACAAGGGGTTGAAGACACTACTGCTCTACATCAGCATGGTCACAATAGGGGATCCAGGCCCAAATGCCCGGGTATAAAGTCAGCCCTTTGGAATCCAGGCCCCGGAAATATTTCTGAAGGCAAGAGTAGTCTCCCTATTGTATTCCTCAGCAAGATCATCCCTCAAGTGCTAATTATGCCTGTGACTATTTCCAAACACTTAACTGCTAGGAACTGTGCACAGACATCCCTCTTTCTCTTCAACCTCTTCACATACCTTAAAGTTGGGTATGCCCTGTAAATTAATCTCCAGATGGTAGTGGCATTTGGGCAGAAGGTTTGGGCCCCAGTATGACAAATCACATAGTCACATGCCTACATTGACTTCTGTGAGACTATCTACATGCTTAAAATACAGTAAGTCTGTTCAGTACTTTTGCTGGATAAGGAATGCTGCATACATCATAGCATTACCAACTCCTAGGCTATCCAATTTCACTCAGACATCCAGTTTGCTCATGCAGGCAGCGTTTTAGACTGGATTACAGTAGTCATCACAATGTATGTAACAGGTGATCCGTTATTAAATCCCAAAGCTTTGACATTTAATTTTCTGGAAGCAGTTTCAAGTCCACAGTGCCCTGGAGTAGAGTCAGGACTGGCTTCCTGATGGTTTGGAAACTCTCAGCTGGAATGCTCTGATTTAATGACAGTATATTTCCCCTCAACCTATTACCATAAGTTCAAATACAATAAAAGCTTGAAATGCTGAACTGAACAATGCTTGCAGCACACAGTTTATAATTCTGATCAAAGCTTGCATTTTACACAAGGGTTACAGGCAAAATAAATAATAAAAAAAATTATTTGAAGATATGAGTATACTCCTTATCTGTACACAGATACTACTCACCAGATTGTAAGTAAGTATCTTGAAAGAAACTTTTTGAAATTATAGTTTTTGCATAGCTTATAGTTATATGTGATGACGCAGTGGCCTCGGAAAATACATGTCACCAGCAGGGAATGGACTCAATGTTCCAGTTTGATTCCAGCAATACTTTGCCTCTACATGGATTTCTATAGTTTTTCCCTAGGCCCACAATAACATTCTTCTTTCAGATCCATATTTACTTCATTGGTACTATTTAACTGAAAGACATACTAAATTACCTACTTTTCAGTTTTTAGAGCTATTTAAATTCAATAGGACTGCAATATCTTCCTTTTATTCCCACATTTATAGGCTGTTTTTCTTTTCCAGTGAACTGCTTATTCTAGCTGTGTGGGAGACAACATAATCAAGATCAAATGCTCCAAAACATTAAAGAAAAATAAATTTTTCTATCATATTCCTTTATGGACTTTCATTAACTTAGAGAATTTAGTATGTAGTAAATAAAAAGTTTTAATACACAAATTTAGTTGAAATACATCCATTTTATTTTCAGATGCAGAGAATTAAAGCAATATGGAGAAGGTGTGAAAAACACTGAACTGAAAACTATTTTATTAGTGTCCCATACAAGAGGACATTCAATGTCCTGTCGACCTTGCTGTTGTTAGGATAATTTCATGAAGTTGTGCTTCTGTGGTTCTGTTTCACTGCTATGACCTCAGAAGCATAGAAAAGTGGAGGTGTGACAGGCAAGAGAAGAATACCAAGGATATTAAAAATGACTATTTTATCATGTTATAAGTGTTAAATATTGTATCCCGAGTTACTGAGTAACTGACGTAACTCACTGAACAGGTAGACGAGTTTGAGAAAAATGTCCTGTGGTGGGGAGAACTTGCACCTAGCGACCTGCTTTGATTCAAAAGGCCAGGCAAGGGCAAAAAAAAAGGGGGAAAAAACAAGGAAAAAAGCCAAAACCAATACATTCACAGCTATAACTCAGAAGCAAAGGTGACACGTGCAGGCACAGACTGGAACAGTGAGCTAACAAACTTGCACTTAGCAGGGCCTTATTTTGGTAATACATAATAAGCCACCTTGCCTGCAGACTGATAATTAATTATTTATTTTTTAATGACAAGGCCTGTAGGTAGAGATAAGATATTTAATAGACTAATTCATACAGCTGGAAAAGCATACAACCTTTTCAGATCTGAACAAATTGTTATATGTTGAAATCTTACAATTTTGCAGCTATCTGTAGGGTTTAATGACAATATTTCCTCCACTCATAAAGTTTATCTTGAGTATTTTCCTTAGGCTACTATGGTTACAATAACACCATCACAAGTGGTTTATGATGCCTTTTCTATGTAAAGCTTTTGGTTTACACTGTATATAATGATTTCAGACCCCTTAAACTCTTTTTCTTTTTGTATTGTGTGAGACCCTATGGGACTGGCAGATGCCAAGTGATGGCAATAGAAGACAGGGCAGTACCTCAATCCAAAGTTTGGGAATGTGCAGCCCATCCCTCCCCTGGTGAAAGATGTTTTCTTCTTTCTTTTGTCATAGATCCTGCAGTGGGTTGACAGATCACACAGTGGGATCACAAATCATGCCCTCCACCATGTTGCAAATAAATGAATAAAAGGTCCATTTGGGCTTGGACAACCAGATGGGAGCTAACTGCAACTGTGAGGAGGTGTATCCGAAGCGTTTCAGACTCATCAGGTCTCTGAATAACAAGAATACTGCAGCCATAAAATCTCTGTTCATAGTGAAATGCTATCCTTACCCAACAAAGTGATAAATGAAGTCTTGAGATAAGAGAAAGTGGTTTGAGAAGAGAACATGATGCACATAAACCCACAGTGTGGTGAACACCAAAACTGTGAATGTCTCTCAGGAACATTAGATTTTTCAACAGAATTGTTTTTTTCACTGATTTTCTGTATTAGCTGGCAAGGTCCTAATAATATTGTTTGATTACATCCGACTGCCGGATATCTTGTAGATTAAGTGTTGATGACAAGCAGGCATTCTTCCACCCCTCTTGAAATGATTGAGAGTACATCCTGGGCAAGCACCAATTTCCTCTTGGCACTTGTAATGAAATCAGCACTGAGCTCTTTCAGGACTGAATTCCCTTCTTGGGGCCACCTTGGAAGCAGGGGTTTTGAGAAAATAGAAGCAAAGACATATTCCTGAAACATACAGTTCTTTTAAAAATTTAGGCTTAATAATTTCCAGTGATGTACACTGTGAATTCACAAACAAGTGTAAGAATATGTACAAATGTTAATTAAAAATTAGTTTTCCTCAGAAAGGGCCATTTATGTCTTTCCCCTGACTTTAATAACTGCAGAAGTGAGTGCCAGATGAGACAGCTGTAGATAGGGTAAAAATCAATAGTTACTCACTTCTGAGTCATCAGTCTCTTTTGATCATTAACTTACAGTTTCCATGGCTTCACACACAGTGTCAGATCCCAAAAGCCTGTCACAGTATTCTCTCTTACTACCAGAGGACTACATTTTTTTAAAATCCACTTCTGTCTCCATACATTTGTTTCATCTATGTACAAATCATCATACAAAAAGGCAACAGCACAGTAACAAAGGAAGTTTTTGCAGAGAATCCCTCCTCCAGGAGCTCCAGCTTTTGAAATGAAATGGTGGTGCAGTTCATCTTCCTACATCAGCTTGACACTGGTGCAATTCTAGCAACAAAGCCACTTCTGAGTTACACTTTCACAGAGGAAGTGAAATCAGGCCCATCTATTGCAACCAATAAAATCTACACATAAATACTGCATTTTTTCTTGGGAGAAGACCTTCCTTTCAAAATCTTGACTTGAGGGTGTTTTCAATGACATTGACATCTAGTTCTGCCATCCTGACTTCCACATTTTTGCACTGCTGGAGATGCTTCTGGAAGTTCTCACTAAGCAGGATGTAGAGAAAGGGATTAATGCTGCTGATGGTGTAGCTGAGGCAGATGGAGACACTGTGGCTCACATAGAAGGTCAGGGCTGGCTTAGAAACCTGAAGATTGACGAGCTGGGTCACATGGAATGAGACAGTGCTTACTACAAACATGATGACCAGACTGCAAAGCAAGGAAGGATCCCTGGCATGGAAAGTCAAGGTGGGAAAATGATGGCATGGATTGAATGTACTAATGAATGGCAATTATTTGAGACCAAATTCACCTACAGTGCAAGCAAACTCCAGCTCTCAACAACTTCATTTTTTTGTTGTTTGCACCTTATTGTTTCTTCTGGTTAGGCTGAATTTGATCCTACACAACAGACATACAGGAGCCACTGAAAATTGGTTACATAAGTTTGATTCAATACTGACAATTATTTTAATTAAAAATGATTCCTCTTTTTCAATGTGAGAGCTATATAGCTTTGCATCCCTTTTCATCTATGACTACACTTTTTTGCTAGCAACTGGAACAGAAATATCCAGTTAAAATATGACTATTATGAGCTTAAAGGAGACTTAAAGCAAAGAAGCAAGTGATCCTCCTGTCTGAGGAATTAAAAACCACACTAAAATAGAAATCAAGTTTCTTTTTCATAAAAAATTGATACAAGCTGAAATCCAAAGCATGTAGTCCTAGAACTAAAACACGCTGATCAGGAGCTGCCATCACAGAAACTGGGAAATTGTATTTCATCTGTTTTATGTGTCAATTTTCTTTTGAGCTTTGAAAGCTTACCAGAGAACATCATCAGGTGAGGTTAGATCAGAAGCACAACTTTCCAAGCTATCTCTGAACTTTATTACTTTTGAGTAGACCCACACAGGGGGCATCAGAATGTGATGCAACCCATAAACATAAATTGATTTGAATTGTGTTTGATCTTGTTCTCAGGTGGGTTAGGTGAAATAGCTGGAAAAGAGTGAGGTACTTGTAAAAGCAGGTAAGAGAACAATATAATAGAAAAAAAATATTTAGGCTAATATTGTTGACTGCAAAATAAAAATTCTAAGAATAGCAATGAAACTACATTTATTAAAAGTTTTCTAGTACAACATGTCAGAATGGTTTTTATTAAAGAAATTCCCTTAACATTCAACAACTGTTGTTATAACTGATTATACTTTTGGTCACAACATTATTCAATTAACATAAGAGTTTTTAATAAATTATAGTAGATGAACATTTGAGATAATTTAAAAACTCAGACACACAAGAAACAAGCAAAGACAAAATCTGAGATTAAATTAGTTCTGGAAAAGGATTGAAGATAATTTCATACAGGCAAGACTGCTATTAAAAAAAAAAAAAAAAAGGGAACATTTAATATATTTGAGCTCTAGGAGCGCTCAAGTCTTTTATAGCTATAATTTAAGTGTTTAGCCTCTACATAACTGAAGATACAACTCAAAGACTTCTTTAGAAGCAATCTTCAGTTAGCAGTAGCTTATGGTACAAAACAAATTCAACTTCTGTTTCATGACCTTCACTTTGTAAAATGTTAGCGTAACCATTAATTTATCAGATCAAAATGGATTAAAGTGGGCAATCTTTGAGCTGAAACCAGAATATTAAATGCAACAACTCACATATCATAAAAAAGAAGGGAAAGTTAAAGGGAGGTGTATCTTACTTCTATTTTTTCAGGAGTGAGTAGGGTAGGTACAAGAACCCCTGCATTTGGTATACCTTTCCATTTCCAGGTGAGATCAGACTATCTACTAACATGACCACTAATTCACAGTTTAACAACTTTTTTTGAGAAGAATAGTGTCAGATCATCTTACAATAAATCCAACAAAAGTAAGGAAACCTAACAATGAATTTCTTCCTTTTTCTTTCTAGCCTTTGCTCATGCAGAATCTGGCATACTGGGACCAGCCATGGGCCTGGCCAAAAGCATGGGGTGTAGATAGTATGTGATGGAAGATGAATGTTTTCATTGCCCTGAGTCTTTTAATTACTTTGTGGTTGTCACACTCATTGCACTCTGTAAAGTAGTTTAAAGGGAGCTGCAGCACTGCCCTGTGATGGCTTTGAGGCGATATAACCACATGGGACAACCTGAAACCAACACCAACCAACATCCTTCTGGTGCTGCACAGTCCAGCTGCCACAGACACAGTTCTTGTCAGCAGGGTCTCCTGGTGGAGACCCTGGCAGAGGGGTGATTCTCATCACATTGCTGCCAGCTCACATTGCTGCCCTGATATGTGATGAGAGGTCCGTTGCTGAGGTCCTAGCCCTGCACTGGTACCCAGATTGTGGGTGACAAGGCTTATGGTTCTGCTTTGGCCCCATGTCCACCCACTCACTCCCTGCGACAGGGAAAAGGACAGGTGGAAGAACTCACCCTCTGACATCAGGAGCTGGTAGGTGGGTGAGGAAATATAACACTGAAGAGAAATGGGGGAGATGTAACTGGTGGAGAAAACTCAATTCATCCATTTATCAATTCATAATTCTTCAATTAATAACAAGTAATACAGCTAAATGAAAGCTCCAAATGTCAACTTTTTACACAAAACGGAGGGAGGAAGTTTGGGTTGGTTTTTTTTTTTTTTTGTAGAAAATATCTATTTTATGACCATTCTCTACAAAATGGATTATTCTGTCCTCTTCACCTTTTTCATGCAAAATGCTGAAAGAGTTTTAGGCAGTAGCAATGAAACACAGATCTCTTGTGGGAGTGAGATTGACTCAGTTTCTTTTAAAGAGAGAGAAAACTCTGAATCATAGTCACAGATATTTTTGAAACTGTAATTTTATGAAATTAACTAAAAATTAGTGATTTACTAGCTGCCATGAAAAAGACAAGTTATTAGGAATTTAAAGACTACTTGGAAATAATTTTCTTGGTGATTGACTATTATCAGCTTCTCTACCTTATTCCATCCTCTAGTCTTCAAGTCAGAGTATTGAAAACCCGCACAAGTTGAAAGGATAAAACTGACAAATATTTAAATACTGGTCAAAGTTTCACTGAATTTTAGTGCTTGTAGAATGGAAAGAAATCACAGTCCAATAAAACAAAACACTCCAAGCTAGTGTAATATGAATGTTAAGATCGTTTCAGGCACTGTTGAAAAAGACACTCTTATTCTGAAGGTTTATCACCTACATGTGGAATCCCACAGAACTTGTGCTCAGCTATATAAGAAAGCTGATTTGGAAAGTACATCACTCTTGCAGAAGACTTTTTTTTCCCCCCCAGAAACTAGTATTTTGGTGTGTTCTGGACAAGGGACATTAAATAGTAAAATTTTATGTTACCATTAAATTGTAACAGACTAATTCTCCATCACTTTCAACCTATACCTTGGCTAGAAATGACTCTATCAGTGTACTCTTTATGCTGTTCACAGATCAAGTGAGATAAATGCAGAGAAACCACAACAAAATCCTGCAAGGAACACCCTTCATAATAATATGATTCCATTTTAAAAATATTTTATGAAAGAAAAACAGGTATAGATATGTATTAGGTTGAATAAAGTATTAAAAAGGAAGGAACAGAGTTTGGTGGAGGTATTCTAGATTTACATTGTTAAAAACACATGAAGCCAGATAGGCAGTTATAATACCAGCTGCAATGTGTGCAAATTGAACATTGCATTTTTTTTTCAGATACCCTGGTATGTATCTACCTTTACTCTAGTAAAACCAGGAGCACTGTTGTGAATTCTCTTCAGCACAGCTGAGAGCAGAAGCTTACAAAGTGACTGACTGCTGAAGAATGTGTTCACCGTACAGAATCCTCAAATTTAATTAGACTGTGGATTAAACAGTCCAGTACTGGGACCACTAAATAACTGGAAATACCATTAACTGGACAGCAGTAACTTTCAAAACCCGTCATTCCTTTTCCATCTTGCTGTATTTGTATAAATACATAGCCATACTTGTATATTTTATATAATGTAAATATCTAATACAAATCAGAGGATCCTTGTCTGTAGGTGCTGGCAACATGTTGCGTACAAGACCTTGGGATGTTGCTCAAGGTCCTGTACTTGTTTTTCACAGATTGGGTTCACCAGCCTGTCAAAATAAGGTGCATGCAACACTTCAGTTGCTTGGTATTGTTGACCTTGGGCTAATGAAGATCAGAAACCATTGTATAAGATCAAGAAAGATTCATATTTCATGGGATAATAATTTATTTTCGGTCCTGCTTGAATATAAGTATGAAATAGATTTCTTTCATTATTCAAGCTTTGCAACAATCAAGTTGTTTTCACTGAATAAGGTTAAAGTAATAGCAATTATTGCTAGAATCAGCAAAAGGCTCTTCTGGCATATGATATCTTAAAAAGCTATGTCTAATTTCATGCAGTTATTCTCAGTCCTCATGATGGTGGCAGAAAGAACAGAAATCCCTACATTTGCAATGGTAGAACTACTTTGTACCGTTCTTGGTACAGCTACCTCTCCTGTTTCACTGGCTGCATCATGGAAATAGCTTCTGACACTGATACTGCTTACAGAATCTGTGTAATTGAGAGTAATTTACAGGCTTCTCAGGTTCTTAAAAGTTGTGATTACTCCTGCTTTACGCAAAATTTGATCTTTTAGTCTCCGTGGAAGCATAGTGTACCACGTATGCTTTGAGCTTGATTTCGTTTTTCAAGTGGTGAAAATAACATCTCCATGCAAAGTAAGGGAACAATACTACAACTCTTTTTAAAATTGGCAGCAGAGGTGTTTCCAATGAATGCTGAAGAAAGTTACAATGGCCATTACCAAAAAATCAGCGAATAAACTGTGAATGACAGGAAGAATCTGTGAGAAAATGAAAGCGTGTAAGATGGAAATAGGATGTGTGGGGGAAACACAGAAAAATGGCATTAGAAGCTCACAGAAAAGTGACATTAGTAGCTGACGTGGAGTAAGAAGTGCACCTACCCCAGGACTCTCTCTTCCCACTGGCTGCAAGGAAGGTGACAGGACATGATATTCCATCCTGTGCTGTGCTCTCTATACACCCTGTGGATCACCTCTTTAACATGCCTGCTGCCTGTCATTAATGAGACTGAACTTCAGCTGGTGCTTACAGTTGATTGATACAAAAAACTCCTTAATGCTTTCATCTGTCCCTCCTTAGCAGGAAGGTTTTAGTGAGATCTCACTTTTGCTTCAATCTGCTTAAGCCCACAAGGTACCTAACCATAAGAACATTGGTTATTTGCTCTTTAACTCTGTATTGCACAAAGGTTTTCAAGACAGGTTCACACACAGAGAGATGTATTAGCAGGGTATATAGCTGATGGCATATATTTACTTTAATGGAAAAATCAAAATGAAAGGAGAACGAGTAGAAGAGAAGCAATAGGGAGGCTCCAGGCAAGCATCCTTCTCTGGGTCTCTTCTCCAGTGCAGTACGTGGTTTCCCCTGTAATGCTTTTTCCACGGTATCAACACAGTTTTCATCAGGACTCATTTCTTACCAGTTGCTCCTGCAGATGAGGCTGTTGCTGTTGCTGAGAGCACGCTTTGCTGAGGCTGCACGCTGACTTGCTGCTATGCTTGGGGCATGCATGTTTTTGGGCCCACTAATGTCAACCAGAAGCTTTGACCACAGAGCAGGAAAAGGGAGGGGAAGAAGGGGTGGTTCTCACGCCGGCGGCAGTCACTTCCCATGAGAACCCCCTGCAACAGTGCTGTTGGGTTCGCAGGTGCAGGGCCGGGAGGATAACAGCGCAAGATCCGCAGCGTGGGAACAAGGGGCAAGTGCTGCCCCAGAGGCTCTGGGAAAGGCTGCCACGGCAGCTTGGGTGACCAGGCGCAGAGCTGCCAGCAGAAAACCAGCTATGGAGCTTCAGGGAGAGGGCTGTTCACAGCGCAAAAGGCTGAGGCTCTTAAGGCACCGTGTGACGTGTGGCTTAACGGGTGATATTGCCTTTGCTCAAAGGACCAGAACCCAGCGCAGC